CCCAGACCAGAAGTGGGCCCTCAGCGCTTCTGAGCATGCTTGGGAACTGCCTGGCTCCTGGTGGGGGCCCTGGGCTGAGCGCTGGCTGAGGACTGAAGCCTCTTTCCTGGCATGGCAGGTAGCAGGGTCTCTGCTCCCCAAGCAGCCCCCTGAGGTTGGCTGAGGGGGAGAGGAGGAAGGGGAGCTGGACAGGGCTGAAACTGAGGCTGCCCCGTTGCTCTGAGGAGCGGCAACCTTTTCCCTCTGCCAGGCTGAGTCCAGGGCCAGGCTGAGTCCGGGGCCCTACGCAGGCATGGTGTGGGGAAGGCAGCAGCCTCTCCCCAGCAGCTCTCAAGCGCCACCCCATTCCTGCCGCTCCAGCCTCACCTTCCTCCCGCCTCATCCCCTTCCTCCCCATCTCCCCACCTGGGAACTCCTGTGCCAAGTCCCTCCTCTCTGGGTCCAGCCTGGCTGCCTCGGTAGCCACTGGGATTTATCTGCCTGGCTCAGGAACCACTGTGGACAGGGTCAAGACTTAGAGAGGACCTGGCCCTGGAAGACAGGAGAGACCAGAGAGGCTCTGGGGCAGGACCCGAAGAAGACCCGGCAAAGGAGAGAGCCAAGGCCAGCCGATCCGGGGTCCCGGCAGGAGAGAAGGCGTGAAGGAGTGCTTTGGCTGGTTGCCCCAGAGCCTCTCCTGGGCCCTTGGAGTCTGCTTCCCAAATTGGGTGAGACTCTCAGCCCAGGGGGCAGACGTCAGCTAGTCCCCCTGCAGTCCTACCCCTTCTGCCTCTCAGGAGGCTAACTTTCACATCGGGCAAGGAGCCCTCAGACCCTCTCACCTCCAACCTCTTCTGCAGTGGGAGGTGGGGGGGAATGTGTTCCCTGGGGAACATAGAGCTGAGGCTGCAGGGAGCTGCAACCCTTTCCTTAGAGACCGAAGCATCAGAGGAGCCCCCCAATAGGAGAAGAGCCTTCTTCTGCCCCCTCCCCCTACTGCCTCGGCTGGCATTCTACCTGGGGTCTCCTTTTGGCTGCTCAGTGCCCAAGCCCCCTGGACTCCACTCCCAAGCTTAACCCCAGCCCCTCCATAACCCCCGCAGTAGGGTGGGGAGGGGACTTTTAGTAAGGAGGGCACAGGGCTAAACTCACCATCCCCACCCCACCTCCTTCCCACTTCCTTTTTTCCCCCAAGTTGCCTGCAGGGATTGGAAACCCTGGTGGTCAGAGACCTTGGGCCTGCAGGGAGAGCCTACCCCATTCCCGCTCAGGAGTACAGCTCAGCTCCCTGCAGAGCCCGTTCCAAGGAGCCCGGCGGGGGCTCCTGCTGTCGCTCCCAGCCCAGGAGGTCTCATTCCTGCCTCCCTCCAGCTCCCAGGAAGCCTGGGAAAGGCAGGGCCGGCTGGGAGCTGCAGGTTCGGAAAGAGTCCGGGGTGGGGGAATTCGGCAACTGGGCTGTAACCGTCCTGTTTTGCTTGCCCCACAAAGCTGCCCGGGCATCCGCTGTACCGCCGGGGCGTTCAGGTTCGAGAACTGCTCTCAGAATGACAGGCTGGTGGCACCCGGTTGGGGCAGGGGGTGGGGGTGGGGTGCAGGGGGGAGCCCCCAGCGAGGGGGAGCTGGAGGGTTAAAAATAGCAGCAGCCGGGTTTCGGTTAGCAAATGTGGAGGCGGGGAGCTGGAGGCGGGGCAGGAGGCGGGCAATGTTTGCCCGCCGCGCAGGGCTGTGTTTCCCCTGGGTCCCGGGAGTGAGTCACGGTGGAGACGCTGAGGAGGTGCTGGCACAGCACCCCCACCCCCACCGGGGCGAGGAGCTGAGCGCAGCCTCGTAGCAGTGGTTCTAGAAGGTGTGCACCCACCTTCCAGGCCTTCAGGGCCGTCGCGAGAGTTGGGCCAGCGGTACTGTAGGATCAGCGGCGGGGGTGGGGGTGGGGGACGACGAAATGTACCCTTCGGAGGCCAGAGACCTGGCTTGGATTCCGGGTGGCCCTGTGTGAAGCCGCGGAAGGGCCCTGAGTCTTGGTTTCCCAGTCTTTCAAGTGGGAATTTTCTCAGATGCGGAGGCAAACACGGGGTGGACTCTAAAGCCCCCTACGGATGTTAATTATCACCTTTGGACCCTCCTGTGCCCCTTGCAAAGCCTGACATCAGAGCCTTCCAGTAAGGACACAGAGGGAGGGATGGGATGGCCTTGGCAGAGTCCCTATTTCTCTTGCAGACAGCCAAGTGTAACCTCGGGCACGTGGCTCTTGGTGCCTCAGTTTCTCCATGTCTGTAACACAAAGATAACAGTTTCAGCCCCATGGAGCTGCTATAAAGATGAAAGTAAATAATGTCAGCGTCAAGCCTGGCATGAAGCCGGTGCACACAGAATATTCATGATTATCGATGTTATTGTTCGTATTTTTGAAGGTCAGGGATAGGGACTGTTGAAGACGTGAAGAACAGAAACTGGGCCCAGCCCCAGTTCACAGACAAAACCAGGCCAAATTCACTGTTCCAGATTCCTCCACCCATGAGGGCCTGGGATAGCAGGAGTCTGCAGCCAGAAGTCACAGGGTGGACCCCTTCTTCTCTCTTGTAGTCTGCTGCCCCCCGGGCTCCCCCAGCAAGGCAGGCTGCTGGCCGACCCCGGGGCCTCGCAGCCAGCTGGCACTGGGGAAGGGTCTAGGATGGGGCCGCCCTGATGGGCCTGATGTGGGATACCTTACCAGCATCTGCTGGGGTGACCTTTATTTTAGCCCCTCCCTGGCAGCTCTTAAGAGGAGCATAAGGCAGAGGAGGGCTGGGAAGGTCAGTGATGTCAGCAGTGAGTATTCCCAGCACTGTGGCCCTGGAAGAGGCAGGACGCATTTCTTTCAGGAAATGATCATTATTCAGCCTACAGGCATTCATTAAGTCAGTCCTGACCTGGTGCCCAGCCCTGTGCTAGGCCCTCTGTGTGATTCAGGAGAGGCAGGGGATGCAAGGTTGTAAATAATGCAGAACCTCAGAGGCTGTCAGGGTCCAAGAATACGGTGCATGGAGTCCCACGAAAGCCTGCTGTCCTAGTTCTCATGGGAACCAGAAGCTGAACCTTGACTTCACGGCCCATTGTGACATCTTTATCCATGGTGTGCGTGTGTGTGTGTGTACATATACATATGTATTCTGTTTTATTATTACAGAGGCAGTTCTTGTGCATTGTAGATGATCAGACAACACAGACAAGCAAAAATTCAAAAACTGAGAAGCATTCCACTCCCAGCGGTCAGAGACCACTGCCACAATACCTCTTCGCATCTCCCTGTTTCCCGACATGCCTTTCTAGGTTATAGTTTTTACGAAAATGAGATTACACTGCACATGCTGGTTTTTCAGTGCTCGCCACCTTCCACAATAGTAAATTTTCATCTCATCGAATTCCCACTTGGCCAGAGATCGTCCTTCCCAGCTGGTTTGTCCAAATCAGTACCCGGGACCATGCGTCTGTTTACTGAGTTCCCTGAAGGCTGTGTGAGCACCCTGGCTGCATTTGTGGTCTGGAAAAACCCTGGCCCACCAAGTCCCAAGGGCAGCCGCAGAACCCTGGCCGCAGAAGGGAATCCTGTCACCAGGAGAATCTGCCTGGCAGGCCTCTGCCATCTTCCAAAAATAATAGGCAAAATGAGGGGGATGCCCAGGCACAACTGGGATGGGGATCTCTGGGTACTTACTGTCATTAATATTAATGTGGTGCCTGTGAGTGCCAGCATTCATAGCTTATTGCTATTCATGGCCTCCTCTATCTGTGATGCCCCCAGGCCTGGGAGCAGGCCCAGGTCTCCACAGTGGCCTCTGCCTTCCCCTGCCCCAGGTCCAAGGGCTGATGGTCTTTGGCTGTGGTCCTGGTCCCCAGGAGTCTGCCCTCAAGGAGAGTGCTCTGTTCTGCACTGGGGGGTGCCTCCGTCTCTTCCACCTGCCCAAGACCTGCCTGTGTGTCTGAGGCCTGGGCGGGGAGAGAGAGGTGGTGGGGGGGAGGGGTGAAGAGAGAGGGAGCGCGAGCTTCTCTTCCCAAGGGAACTCACTCCCAAGTAGCCGCTCCATGGGTGACTTGCTCTGGTTATGCAACCTGCATTTTCTCCAGTGCTTGACAGTTTCCAGAATGCCTGCACACAGTATCTGATCCTCCATGGCAGCCCTGGGAGGGTTGCTTGTTTGCTTATATCCTGCGGGAGGCTGCTTACAGGAAACAATGAAATAGTAACATGTATGTTTAAAAAACAGGGAAAACAGAAGATGAAAAAGGAAGTGAAGATGGGTTTGGGAGTGCCTCCTGGAGACAAAAGGCATGTGAAGGACACAGGCGGAGATGACTATCTCTGCTGTTATTTTTGTTGCCGTGGATGTTTTCTGGGTGGAATACTAGCACACTGTGGGAACACACCACCCTTGGGGGGCACGCCCAGGCCTTCAGATGCTGGGATCCACTGTGTCCTCTGGCCCCTCGGTGACCTCACCTCACCACCTGGGGAGGTGGGCAGACCTGTGTGCCAGGGTCACGATTATGAGCTTAGGTCCTGGGGCCCCAGGAGCCCACTTATGAGCTCTGAGGCCTCCGCAAGCTTCTTAAAAACTCCACACCTCAGTTTCTCCCTTTGTATAAGAAGGATGCTTGGAGCATCTACCAGACAGGGTTTTTGTGAGGACCAAGTGAGATAGTACGAGTAAGATGCTTAGCACGGTAACAGGCACACAGTGGGCATTTGGTACAGAGTTGTGGATCGTCACTAATCTTATTCATTAATAATTCTAATCTGATGACTTGAACTTCTCCCTGGCAAGTCTCTGGAGTGGGCTGAGTGGCCTCCCGGTGGCACAGGTGGGAGGAGCCAGGGAAGGCACATCTCGTGGCTCATGCGGTTGGCAGAGGGTGGGGGGCCAGCGGGAGTGGGGGATGTGGGAGGCAGGACCTGGCCGAGGGGGGCCCAGAAGCCGAGGGAACAAGGAGGAGTGCGAGGGAAGGGATATGAGACCTTGGAGGGGAGAAGGAGCGGCTCTGAGAGGCAGCCCCGGGGCGGGGACTGTGCTTCCTGTTGGGGCAAGCGCTGGCCCTTGAGAAAGACTGTCTGGGGCTGGCTGCTAAGAGGGAGCAGCTGGTCTAAGTGGGGCAGCAGGGGCTGGGGGAGGGGAGAGACAAAGGCAGAAGCTGACGGAATCTCCCCTCCTCTCCCCACATTACAGATGGGGCCCCCATCTTGACGGCTCAGGATGTTTTGCTTATGATAGGAAAGATGGTGGTTAGATACCATGGTGAACTTCCTATCTCAGGGATTGGAGCTCCTGGAGCAGGGGAGTGAGGGTAAGTGGGCTCTTAGCCTTTGAGGGCTTTCAGGACCTGAGAAATCCTAGGGCAGCCTGACCAGGGGGCTGGGAGTGGGGGGGAAATGTGCCGGCTCAGGAATTCCCTAGGTGCTCGGGCTGACCTGGCTGTCCGGAGAAGCCGGTGGGTGACAGGAAGTGGATGCAGGCTCTCTGAGGCCAGCCACCCTGAGCAAGAGGCTCTGCCTGCCCCTTTGCACCTCTACCGAGGACAGGCAGGGAAGACGGAGTGGTGGTCTGGGAGGCCCCCGGAGGTGGGCAGGGCTTGGAGGAGCCCCTGTTTCTCTTTGCCAGAGGACGGCGAGGCTCCGCTGAGAGTGCCAGTCCCAGGCACCGACAGCTGCACACGACTCGGGATGGCTCGGCTCCCCGGGCCTCAGCGTCCAGCGGGTCCCCGGCTAGGAGGAGAGGCCACGGTGGGCGGGGGCAGAGGACCTGGGCGGGGGAGGGGGGGCAAGGAGCCAGGAAGGACGCTTTCCCACCCCCAGGGAGCGCGAGCTGCCGCTGCCATGGTTACGTCTGCTTCCTGTTTGATTCATCTCAAACAGCAGAGGGGGGGTGCAGGCCCCCAGCTCGGGCCACTGCTGCGTGGGGCTGTTTACAACAGCCGCATGTGGGATTCCCAGAAAGAGACTCCAAACCGGACATCCTGCGGCTGCAAAATACCCAGGTGTCAAGAGCTAAAAATAGCTGCTCTAGGGCCCCAGGCAAGGGGCAAGGGGCATGCTCACCGTGCGGGGGCGGAGGGCTGGCCTGTGGCCTCCCATCCAGGCTGTGGGAGTTGCAGGGCTTCAGTCCCCTTGCCGCTCCCCCCGGCGCCCCCCCCCCCGAACTTGGGCTGACAGGGGGCCT